CCTAAACTGGCCTACTAGGGATCTTTAGCCCTTCTAGAAAGCCTTTCCAGGAACATCGGAACAGTGTTGAACATTCAGTTGCCCTCTAATCCAAGGCCACTGCTGTTACCTGATTCCCTTTTTAAAGAACCATGGGATCACTTTGGTAGAAGACAGTCAAGGAGGAGAGTAGGGAAGGAAGGAAAAAAGAAAGAAAAACTGGAGGGAGAAAGAGAGGGAGAGAGGAAGGGCAATGGGAAGGGAGAAAGGAGAGAAGAGAGGAGAGAAGGGAAGCGAAGGAGAGGAATGGAAGGGAAGAGAAGGAAAGGGTTCCCATGTAATGAAAAATCAAATCCCCAGAAAAAGTCTCTAGAGGAGAATGCCTGTCAAACAACTTCAAGGAAATGGCACTTTGACAACCAGCAAGTGAGGTATTCCTCCCATTTCCTGCCATTTATCTCCATTACTCTCGTTTCCATTTCTCTTCTTTCTCATTCTTCATTCTCTGGCAAGTAAGAGCTCTCCCATCTTCCTTCTGCCCTCCCACAGGGTCAACTGAGTGTTGCCTTCTTGTTAATAGTACATTAGGAAATCATCTAAACCCCAAATCTCAGATGATGCCAAATTCCTCCCTGCTTCCCCTAGGACCTGCCTCCGGACATGACTCTACCAGTAGTCAGCAGAGAAGACAGCAGCTGATCTGACCACAGCGCATACTTGGGGACCAGACTTCTCATTCCAGGCCTCCATCTCCTAAGTCCCCACTGAAGACTCCATCAATCCCTGAGTAACTCTGGAAGGAGTGGCTTAACCTGTCTGGGTCGCTGTTTTGAGATAATTTGGAATAACAAAAGTTTTCATTCTATGTGTCCATCTTTTCCTGCCTATAGATGGGCTCACATGGGCTTGTATAGCCACATCTGTACATGATCTGTTGCATTTGATCCTGAGAATCAGCCAAGGCCTTCCTGCCCTAGGTTCCCATACAGCCAGGCAGAGGTGAGAGGCTAAATTATCAAGCTTGGCACAGGAACAATCAAACGAACTATGGCTTGGAGCAGCTAGTTCCTGAATGGCATTCAGCCACTTCATTGGCTCTTTCAGGTTCAATTCCAGTTTGATTTTCTATTTCCTGAAGGTAGTCCATCCAGGCTACAATCCTCTTCTTTTAAGTTAACAGATGAGACAGCTGTGGAGATCTGGTCAATGGTCCACTCATCCTTGTGCAATGTCACATTGGACCCACAGCCTATATTTCCAGAGATACTTCATAGCCAAGTTGTTAATGGTATTAGGTAATCTACCATCTACTATCAGCCTTTTGGACCTCAAAGCTGCTCCTGGGGAATGATTTTCTCCTTTCCATTGGATGACTGGGCAAAGAGAGGCTTAGAAGAGATAAGGGATTTTTCTAAAGTCACATAGCAAATGAGTGGCAGAGCTGGAAGTCAAGTCTTAGTGTCCTTTGTATTGGGATTCCCAAATTCTTCATAGCATTTTTGGGTCATTGCTAGAAATCTTCTTTTTTGTTTTTTGTTCGTGGAGCTTAAACTCTGGGCCTGGGAGCTGTCTCTTAGCTCATCAGCTCAAGGCGAGCACTCTACCACTTGAGCCACAGCGCCACTTCTGGTTTTCTCGTGGTTATTTGGAGATAGAGGCTCATGGACTTTCCTGCCCAGGTTGGCTTTGAACCTCGATTCTCAGATCTCAGCCTCCTGAGTAGCTAGGATTACAGGCGTGAGCCATTGGCACCTGGCAAGAGATCTATTTAAGTAAATAGATCATAAAAATAAATAAATAACGGTCCCATGCTAAATACTTCACAGGCATCATCTCATTTAGTCCACTTAATATCATGGTCACAAAAGAGAAATTAACCATCTGTATTTTATAAGCATTGAGGCTGATGGAGGCTTGTCCCAGAGCACACTGCAAAAGAATGCTTAGAGCTTTCAAGGACAAATAGCTGGGCTCAGGTTCAACTTCAGGTCTGTGAAGGATTTCAAGAGAGAAGTAATGAGGACCCTCACACCTTGCACCACCAAAAAGATGGTTTTCTTCTTCCAGCCCTAAGTGAGCCTAGGTAGATCTGGGTTGGTGAAGGAACTAGTAAAATTTATCTCTCCTTTCACCACATCTGTGGACTTATCTTTCTCACTTGACTTCCTCCAGCCTCTTATCAGTCTTAAGAACTGTGGTGTCAGCAAGTTATCTTAATTCTTATCATACTGAGACCACTTGAAGAAACACTCTTCAGAGATAAGTGAACCCTCTTCCACGTGGCTGGACTTCTGTCTTTGTCTTTCTCCCAGGAGGCTCTCAACACCAGTCATTGCCTCTGTCCCTCAGCTTTGACTGCTTACAAGTCCATTGAAGCAAATGTTAGCTTGTCAACATTGCATGTTCTAGGATCCAGCACAGTGACTGGCCCAAGAATCAGCATTACACATACATTGGTCAAATCAAAGAAATCTCTCATGCAATTCAACCAACATTAAACTAAGTAGCTCTGTGCTAGCTGGCTTTTTCTGTTGATTCTGAGATACATAAAAAAATAGATGTTAACTAGAAGAGTCTCAGCTTAGGCTTAGGTGGGAGCATCAGTAGCATCCTAAACACCATTTAAAATAATGTGGAAGGGGGCTGGGAAGGTGGCTCATTGGTAGAGTGCTTGCCTTGCATGCATGAGGCCCTGGGTTTGATTCCTCAACACAGAAAAAGCCAGAAGTGTTGCTGTGGCTCAAGTGGCAGAGCACTAGCCTTGAGCTGAAGAGCTTAGGGATAGCACTGAGGCCCAGAATTCAGGCCCCAGAACTGACCAAAAATTAAAAAAAAAAATGTAGAGGCTAGCCACTGATGTTCACACCTGTAATCCTAGAGGTTGGAATCTGTGGGTCATTGTTTAAAGCCAGTGCAGGGCAGGAAAGTCCATGAGACTCTTTTTTTTTTTTTTGG